ATGGTTTAATAAACCAACCCCAATGGTGACCAGAGAGAGAGAGAGACAGAGGGTGAGCCTACCTAGTGGAGAGTGCAATAAAAACTAACAGAAGTCCTAAGCCCACACTGCAAGGATTAAATGCTCATTTATACTTAAGGTACTAGTAAAAGATTTTTACTTGCCTCTTTACATGCTATAAGAACGGGTTATGAAGCCTCTTCACACGGACGTTCCATTAGTTGCAGGCATCCTGAGTTCATCAAGCACAATACAGGGCCAATAGCTCTGCATTGTACACGAGAACAGCAGAGGACCAGCCACAAGTCCTTTTAAAATGTATCCTAGGCATAAATGACCATTTAAAGCCCATTTCCACCTTTGCAGAGGTATTTAAAACAAAAACAAACACATGCCAACATTTTTTGGGGGGACACAGAGCTTTCATTTGGTAGGTCAAGTCGGGTAAATAGACACCAAACAAGCCTTAAAATTGCGCGCGCCCGCAAAATTGCAAAAAACTACCACACTGAAAATTGGTCATAGGCGACGCTTAAAACGCTTTTATTGCTCATCAGTTTAGTGTCATCAGTGATTAATGGCCCTAAAATTGCTTGCCCTCAGACGTTCGCGGTGATATGCAACATGTGTTGCACAATAGGCGCAATTGTCATTTTCACACTTTCACGCATATCTGCGTGTGTATGAGGGGTCGGGGGACTTAAAAAAAGTTTTTTTGAATGCTTTATTTTTTTTTTACAACTTTATTGCTATCACATAGGGGGCTAGGAAGCCCCCTATGTGATAGCCAATTTACATGACAGGTCCTCTTTATGGAGACATCAGGGGTCTCCAAGACCCCTGTCACCTAGGGACCTCCATAGAAGTGATCTGCTTCAACAGCTTCAGTAGCTGGAGAGTGACACTGAATGCAGAAAGTAATGTAATATACATCACTTGCTGCATTCGGGGACGGAGAGGAGGTCAGAGGGAGATTGCGTACCGATCTCCCTTTGATCTCCTGTCACAGAGCAGCCGTGCCGGTCCCAGCCGCATCGGATCACGGGACCGGCACGGCAGCGACAGCTGCTCCTATACAAGCGATCGGGTGTCTCTAGAGACGCCTGATCGCTTGAATGTAAAGCTCTCGGCCGGCCGTGTAATTACAACGGCCAGCAAGGAAGCTACACGTCAGGCTCTGCCGTCCTCTCGCCACAGACGAGAGGACGAGTGGATTTTTCAAGCCCTGGTCATGAAAATGTAAACATGTATACATTATCACAATAAATGCTAATCACTTACAAGGGTGGAAATGGACTTTAAGCTTTGCATTTCGGGGGGGCTATACTGCAGGGGAATTTTCTTTTTTCCCCCCATTTCATCTTTAAGCCAAAAAAAAAAAGCACCAGGTTTTCAGTCCAGGTAATGTTTAGATTATAGTTTCGGTAGAGGTTTTACACTACATGTATATCCTATTTACCATTAATTTGGAATGTAAACATAACTGCAGAACAAATCAAAAACTCACCTAGTGGCCCAGATTCTTTATAATGACAGGAGAACTGGAAAATTAGGTTAAATGTATTAGATACTTGTAATTTATTTCTAGCCAAACATCAGTTTCTTGACTAGACATGAAGATCATTTAAATGCGATGTCTGTCGAGAAGCTACAGTGTGCGATTCCAGGACTGTGCATGTCTGAACTGAGCACAGTGTGCATGTGTGACATAGCAGGAGCTCTCAGTAAGCTGTCACCCTGGGGAATAAAGACAGGACAAGAAGATGAGCTTCATCACACTTGGCTCATTCCAGCAGCTCAGGCTCAGCAGTCACATCTGCTACATGGAACGGCTCCAAGATGATATCCATCCCTTCGCTGAATTTGAATGCAGGCAAAACAACTTGCTGCCTTTTTCTGTGACCTCCCTCTGGCCTTTCGAGTCTTTTTATGTATACAGTAGAAGAGTGTCAGGCAGGTCTGCTACACTTTGAATATAAGAGTTATGACAGCGGGAGAAAAAAAAAAAACAGCCACTTAGCTATCATGGGGCTGCAGTTATTCCAGAACTACAGTATGTGCCTCTGGCTGAGCTATCTATAGATCATAGTAGCAGGGGGGCTGCACATTTTTCTCTTTCCTTTTTCTTAAAGGAGAGCTAAATTCATAGCTGCAGTCATTAAAATGTTAGTGGCTGACATTATTGGATAGGATCATGACAAGTGTGAAATTATGCAGAATGAGATCAAGGAATTATTAAAGCTAAAACAAGAGTCTGCAGTAATCAGACATTGGTTACAATTGATAGTGAATGTCAGTACTACAACAGCTTATTCATACTTCTCAGGAATTCGAGGTGGCAAGCTTTATTGTCGTAGCATATACACCAAGAACCTACATAGACCGGTTTCTTCTAAAATCTTAATTAAAATCCTTAACTCGAAGACCCCTCCTCTGTGTTGGAGACCTCCAAGCTCTTGCCCTTTAATGAACCAAGAAAAACAGCATTTTGGAAAACTATCTCCTACAAGAGCCAGCTATGATGAGATACCTGTTTTAAGGTACCCACAGACACACATGACGATATTTGTACTAACAAAAAGGAAATATGGTGGTATTTATGGACCCTTGTGCAGAAACTTCCTCGTTGACCGATCTTGGTGGTAGAATCAATCCTCTGAGCTGAATTCTTTCTTGTTGATCACCAACATTTCCTTAAGTGCAGCTATAGGTTATTCTTAAGCATGAATGCTTAGAAATCAGGGCATCTTAAAAAGTTTTAACCAAACCTTTGACTAAAAAGCACTTTTCTGTCATGAACAATCAAACATCAGCAAAACTATCTGCCTGCCTTTATAACCCCCCCCAGTTCAAAAGCAATTCCGCTAGCGGTACTAAACAACTGCCTTCATACCAATTGTGTAGAGTTTCCAGACATAATATATATACACATATACATCTATCCATCCACCTATCCACCCATCCACACACATATTTTATATACACATATATATTATATATACATAAACACATACACACACTATTTATTCCAAACGTATATGGCAAATGCTATTTTACCTGCATACATCATTGTGTAACCAGACCTGGCTGTGCCCCACAGCACTAGATGGTCTGCTCTGACTATAGTTATGTGCTGAATCATACTCAGTCTCTACTCAATTGGTGCCAGTGGATGTAACTATACTGAAACCCCCATCATTCAGTGCCACGGTACCTGCCCCCAAGCTCATAGCTATACGGTGCATTGTTTGCATAATGCTCAGAAATATGCCAAGACTGCAAAAACATTTAACCGTACCCCTAGATCCACTGAAACCGCAACTAAATCTGCAGAACCAAGTCCATATTCTGGTATGAAAGCAATTGTCTTTAAAGTGTATCTGCAGACACAATTTTTGTTTGTTTTGGATAGGGAAATGTTACCACCCCTGTCAGGGTTTTATTGCGGTCTGTACCCTTACTGGATAGTTCATCTCTATTTGCACCAGTGACATAGTCACCAGAAAAGTAAAGTTTACTTGTCAAAGAAACAGGGTGCAAGGGGAAACGTACCATTTGAGACACCTATTCTGGTGACAACTAAGATGGGGTTTCATGGTATTTACAAGTGATTTCTTCTTGCTTACTTCGGTGTTAAGGGGAATCTCGTCAACAGGACACTGGGAAAAAACCTGAAGGGGTTTTACCCATTCCTTACTCTATCCGGTTTCATAAGGCTACAGCACTTTGTAGACAGTGTTTTCACTTTGTACTACCTTAAATTAAATAATCTCTTCCATACTTTAAAACTCTTTTAGTGGCCCAAAAAACATTGCAACACTGTGGACAAAAGACAATCTGCAGTCTTCCTATGCTGCTTGTAACTAATACAGTAAATACACATGGAAGTTATATGTAGCTAGATAAGCTGCACAAATATTAGTAATGCCATCACAATACAGCTGAACTTCTATTGATTTTTGTGACTCCTACAAAGAAAAGACCAGACTACTGCAAAGACAACACATCAATTCCATGGAATTACTTCTATGGCATAATGTCTTGCATGCACAGTCTAATACATTCCTATATGTCTAGAAGGCTTGGAATTACAATTTTAAGTTCAACTGTAAACCTAATACGGTATATTAACACATTCAGTATTATAACACTGACTGGCAAGTAAAAATGGCAACATATAAAGTATATGCAACATATAATATTTCAACTCTGCAACACATTTTGTTTTGAAAAGCTAGGTTTCCCCAGTCATTTTACGCCCACCTCTGGCTGCCCACTGAGCCATTCATGAGATTACTAGACAGACAGTCATTCATCTGGTTAAAGGAAAGTCATTCATCAGGCTAAAGGAAAAATCATCTTTCTCAAGGTCAGAATTTTATCTCAGTTATTTTCAGTTCTGATAAGCTACTGAAAGTATAAAACATATGTCTGAAAATGTTATTCATTTCACTTTGATATACACCAAGTTGTAAATTACCCCTACAGCACTTCCACACTGGGGAAACTGTGGTCTATTGATCAGTGCCATGCTGAGTGACTTTACCAAGAAGCAAACACCCCCTCTGGACTCCGCGCTGGCAGATCTATGGCACTGTGCCAACCCAGGGGGTGAAGCTACATTACAACCGCAGCCACAGAAAATGTAATTGCTTCCAGTGTCATCAAAGGGAAAGACCACTCATCCTAACTGTATTCACGGCAGTTGAGTTCTCATATCTTCAGCATAGGTACTTTCTAGAACTGGAGAAAGTCAACTTTTTAACCTCATCATGCCCTATAATTTAGGAGAATGATGTAAAATTAAAAGAATGGCAAAGCATTTCAAACATTCAACGAACAGTCCCTATTGGGACCAAATTGTCCATGACAAATAATTCCTTTTGATTCAAGTATTTAAGCCTGGAGCCTTTATAATTCATTTTATAATCAGATGAAAATGCATTTTTTAAAAACACATTCAGAAAAGCCAAAGTAGAGCATTCAAGCAGTGTACTTACTCTTAGTGTAGTTATTGTGCATGGGTCACGCAGCCTTCCTTCTTCATCTTTCAAGTTATAGCCCTCTGGTCTCTTGTCTCGCTCACTGACTTTCCATAGTTTTACAGTTTTATCTAGAAGTAAAAAAAAAGAATACATTTAGAAATGGTAAGTGCTTTGACGTGAAGCCAAGTCTTTCAGGTGACAGACTTTCATCCTGCAAACGCAAACTACTTGGGGTCATTAAAAGCTGAACTCCAGGAAAAAAATGCAAAAAAAACTACCCTTGCAGTGGGGTTTCCCCTGCACTAAATGCTCTTTTTTTTTCCACCTCGCTCCGACAGGCTTCCTCCTCTCTTTGCAACCAGTCCACAAAAGCTTCTTCTTTGGTGCTCCATCAGTGAATCGCACTCTGATGTCAGCACATACAATGCAGGATCAGCAGTAATGCATTGTAAGTGAGGGTGCCAAGGGAATAATGGGCACAGCAAGTAAAACTACTTTCTAAAGCAAAACACTGGGCAGGATTTTTATTAACCCTTGCAGTAGGGCTAGCCCCACACTGCTAGGGTTAACTGTTCATTTTTGTCCAAGTAAAAAAAAAAGTCACACCCACCTGATGCTCTTGGTCCCGGGCGTGCATGGACTGGAAACACCAGGTGCTTACCCATCCGAGTATGCATGCCTTAATTCTAATGCAAAACCCTTTCTGTATATGACAAGAAGCGGAGTCTTGCCCAGCAGCTCCATGTGAGGTTCCTGCAGCAGATTCTTTAGATCTCAGATGAGGGTTAAATAGACTCTCCCAGTTTAGCATAGTTACAAGGTTTACTGGGCAACATCAACAAGAATTAAGGTTTCTTGTTGCCGGGGCTAGTGGTGGCCAATATACATCTTCGATAGCTATTCACCACAAAGCCTGGTCTGGTGATTATTGGACTGCACAGTCTTATTTAGACACCCTGCACATGTTCAAGGCACGTTACCGAACAGTGATGTTAATGAATGTGCTATAATAAAATATAGATTGGTGACTACAGTTGACTCCAAGTACCATTCAGGCAAGCTTCATCCAACTCCAAATAAATAAAAAAAAGTCCACTCATACTCAATGTGAGGTTCAGCAAACATCACAAATCTAAGCTGTGGAAAGAAAAAATATTGGCCATTGACGGACTGACCTCAGTTTAGATTTTTTATACAGATCTATACTGCTTAGGACTACCTGGAAGGTAAACACATTTTTGAAGTGTATTTTTTACTTCAATTTATATTTGTTACGTGAATCTAAAATGATAGCGCTAAAACAACAAAAATATAAGCGTTACGCCTAAAGTCCAAGTATACAAAGCACGGCAAAACTCCCAGATCACCCAAAAAACTTTAGATTCAAAACTGTTTCTACACATCATCGCCGATCCTTAATTTGTCTCCTGCCCCGCTTGCCTGAACAAAGCCCCTTAAGAAAGCTCATACAAATGCAATAACACGGTACATTTAAAAAGAATAATTTTAACATCCTGCCGGAGCTGAAAATGTCACTCTGATCGTTGAGATAATATCACTGTAAATCAAAAAACTATTTAAAAACTCAATTAACAGAACATTACACCATGTAATTAATCTGTATTCTCTCACAATGGGCCCCTGGCCTCCCCCCAAACATATTTCAGGGGGCTGTAAATTGTATTAAAATGATCAATTGACTAGCTGCTAACTCACTTCTCAGAAATTCTAACCTTTCACTGCAAAGTAATTACATAGGAGCATATGTTTTGGAGATAGGTTTTAATCCCTTCACTGAGGAAGAACTCCGGCTGCTAGTGCAGGACTCCAGGATAAAAGACAAACTGTGTCCTTATTAAAACAGGTCTGATGGAATGTGCAGAAGTATATCAAAAGATCAATATACTTTTTTTTTTCTGGCTTTGAGCATGTGCTGCATTTATATTTCCCCAAGTGAGGAGCCGATTCCTAAAGTCAATCACTACAATCTCAAAAAAGCTTTAACATGTTGATGTAATTTCTGAAGCCATTTCCTATATTTTGAAAAATGCAGCTTTAGTTAACATAATACCTGGTAATCCTGCTATAAAGAGCATTGTTCAGGTACTTCCCGTTATAGCAGCAGTTCTCAGCCTGTGGGTCATGACCCAAAAGTGGATTACAACCCCTTGTGGAGTGGGTCGCCACGTGCCTCCTGCTGCGCTAGGCGAGAGGCTCCTCAGCCTCCTCCTAGGGCAGCAGTGTCAGTCACTCAGGTGGGAGGGCAGCAGCGGCTGTGAATAGAAAAGTTCAGCTGTACACACTCCAGCAACATCTGGTGGCTGGGGAAGGTGTACAGCAGCACTTTTCTATTCACAACTGCTGCTGTTCTCCTGCCTCCCATACAGTGTGGGCTCTGCAGGAGGCTGGGCCTTACCAGTGCAGAGGATGAGAAGGCTGCACCTACGGAGGAGACAGGGTGGGCAAGCAGGTAGCAAGGGGCTGGGGACTACTAAGTCCAGTGTGATGCCAAGTCCTGAGTCCAGTGCGTTACTAAATCCTGAGTCCAGTGCGTTACTAAGTCCGGTGCTGGGTCACCACAACTTGGCAAATGTTACCAAGGGGTCCTGGCCCTACAATGGTTGAGGACCAGTGTGTTATAGGATGGCAATGCTCAGTCCCACTTTCCAATGGAGACTGCACATGGCTGTTTCAGAGCACATTGCATAGGCATGGTGCACTTTGGTTACCAGCAGGAAACCAACCCAGAGAAAATCCACACAGCCATTGCTGGAGTATGTGCATGTAGACAGGAAGTGAATGCAAGAGATCAGCTGCACTGCAATCCAACAAAGGATGGCAAGTGTTATAACAATCTGTGCTGAAATGTCAGTTAGGGCGTACAGCTACTTAAATCCTAATGTACCAGAGTGCTGCTGGAGAGAACTCCAGTGGAAACTCAAAATCAAACATTGATGTGCATAAAAAGCCTACCCACTCAGTGCTGATTTTTTTCATCATTGCTATAGTTCAAAACACTGCCTTGCTCCTTTTTTATCCGGTGGCCTGAGATCTCCCTGCTTGTGATGCAGGACAGAAATTCCTAAGAACAACCACTGTCCGCTCCTAGCCATCTCTCAAGATTATTCGCAAATCCACCAAGTTCAAACCTGCCTTGATAGTCTGAAGGTAACTGGGAGATACAGGACGCAGCTGAAGAGGATGTTACATAGAAAAGGAAGCAAACTCGCAGCATCTCTGTTAAATGGTCCCTGCATTCTTGCTGCATTAGACCTCATGCGCATGGGCACACAAAGCTGTATAACAAACTGCGGGTGTATTTCTTCACACAGGAAAAAGCTGCCACTTACAGCTGTCTATAGTAATGAATGGCTGTAGGCAGCTGTATGTGGGTTTGCGCTGCTACTGGCGCAAACCTGCAAAATGCATAAAGCCGTATGCCACTGGATGCAGACTGTATGCTTCCAAGAATATATACTAGCATGCTTATAGAACAGCCACCTATAGCTATTCAATACTATGGGCAGCTGTGTATCCCGCGAGCGGACATATGCCTGCAGTTTACGTTACGTTATGCTCCCGTGTACATGAGGCCTAAAGGTGCCCATACACTGCTCGATTCTCGTACGAGAATCGCGGGAAATCCCGCGATCGTACGAGAATCGAGCAGTGTGAACGAAGATGTGCGACCGTTTCTACTGTACGGTCGCACATCTTTTGTCTAAGGAGCACGCCAGAAAACCAGCCGAAAATCGTACGATTTTCGGCTGGTTTGAACGGTGCTCGGGAGACAAATGCCGAGCGGGCTTGCGATGATCGAGAGTACGATCTGCCTGTCCAAGATGGGCAGATCGTACGTTTTTTTAATTACTTTACAACCATCGCAAGTTGTAAAGTGTATGGCCACCTTTAGACTACAGACAACAGACCAAAGTAATTTAAGTTAATTTTTTGATTACAGAACTCCAGCAGTGTTTGCAGATTAGCAACAGAAGCCCATTGATTAGGTGGAACTCCCCTGAAACCAAAGGCATAAATAAATGAACTGTTTAGTCCATTTATAGACATTAACAAACTTCTGAATTGTTCTTAAATTCCTGAGCATCAGCGAGACCACACAACCTATCAAGAGCAATAGAGGTACGGGAGACAATGCGTGACTTTGAGAGCCGACATTGGCTTAATCAATGCCCAGATTCTGTCATTTCAAAAGGAAGGATGCACTTCTGTGCAGTTTGTTTCTAAAGGCCATGTTATGACTATGAGCTATGACTAAGGCAGAGTAAGGCTGAAACGCGTCAGCAGTTCTTCGTATAGATGCAAGTGGAAAAAAGTTTGAATTTCTTTGGAAGATCATGTACTGGTTCTACAGCTTTTGAGCCTATTACTTCAGAAGAGAGTCATCCGTGCACCAAATGTGGATTACAAGGATGCATAATAGGGGGGAGCTGTGCGCTGTGTTTCTATTTTCATCTTCAAAGTAGCATTAAAAAATGCGTATAACAAAACAAATATGCATTGCCGAGCAAATTATTTCTTTTTTTGCCCAAGCACTTACAGTCAATGTTTTAAAACAGCTGGCTCCAACGCTCTTAGCCTCACTTCCCTGAACTTCCTGTCTAGCACAGTCTTGAGCAGCTGCCCATGTACTATCCCGGAGATGTGAGGAAGGGGGAAAGACTTGTTGTGTCTGCTCGTTTGTGTTGACACACCCACTGGTTGCTAGCACACACGTTGGGGGCTCCATAGGACCCTGCAAGGGAAAGCAGCCACCCTAAAACAGGATAGAAGGGCCACTGCCTGGGACCAGCTAATTCTGCAGGAATCAAACTTTTTTAAACACCAAGGAGCAGCATCCATTGGAAGTGATTTAAAAATGAAATGGCTTAAAAGCTTTCAACTTCAATACAACTTTAATCCATATCCGTATTTAGGCAAAGCAAATAGGAAAATATTTTAATATATAGTTACCACTAGTAACCAGTTTCCATTTTTAAAAAAGAAAAACGGATGATTGCCAAGTGGTTGATTGCCAAGTGAAATACCTAGCTGCACACTACGGTACTAGTTTCGGTCATAATGAAAATGGAAAAATGGATGGAGATATATGGCAAACACTATTTACTACAAGAATCAGAAGCCGTTCCGAAACTTACCATTAGTGGACAGCAGGAAATATGCAGCATTCTGCTGAGGAAGCCATCTTATTTTGTTTATTTTCTCTTCAATCTCTAAACTTTTCAAGTAATCGAATTCTGGCTCGTGGCTCTGGAAAGTGCTGTAAACATTATACTCTCCTCTCCTGTGAGGCTGATTTTTGCTCTGCCAAGAAAAAAAAAACCAAAAAACTAAATTTAGACATGTCTTAACACAGTTACAAACATACTATGTCCAAACCCATACGTCTAAAAGTATGTGGACAACCCTCCAAATTACGGAGTTTGGCTGTCTATCAGTGAAGGGTACTGTTAATGCAAGAGCATACAAAAACATCTGTGTGCTTTCAGCCTTCTTACAATGTCATTTTATGCTCCAGTATGATTGTGCCTCTGTGCACAAAGACAAGTCCATAAAGATATGACAAATTTGGTGCAGAGGAACTCACATGGTCTGAACAAAGCCCTGACCTCCAGCCTTAGGCCTTTCAGTTTATCTTTGGCTTGCTAGTCAAAACAGAGGTCAGGTACAAAGTCTAAATGAACAATTCATGTATGCCATACATTCCTTATGGGTGGAAATGTTAATGGGTTAAAATGTGAAACATCTATAACCACCAAGTGTACATGCTGCTTTCTGTCACACTGTGATTAAATAAATAATTAAACTGTGCCGGCTCCTCTAAACAAAAAAGATGCTTCAAAATAAAAGGGCACTTGCTGTCAGTTCAAATCTTTGGGGTCTAGCATGGAATTGCAGGTGAAAACCTTCTATCAGCCAAGCTATCCAAGCAAGGTTACACCATGGGAAACTCACAACCACCCAGGCTCATAAGTCAAGTGTGGTTTGCTTATTGATAACCATGGCAATGAGTGAGACATAAAAATTAGGAAGCAGCATGAAGCTTGTAATGAGAAAATAAAATACATTTTGTGGCCGGCAATCCTTACCTCCTGCTCACGTTGAAATATTACGACACGGCCCCCCTTGTCTCCTGTGGCAAGCAGTTCTCCTGTGTTGTTGAATTCAACTGTCGAGATAATGTCAGCTGGAGAAAGAGACAAAGGCAATTTTTAGATGACTGAATACATCTGCTCTTCCACACATCAACTCTTTCTGGCAAAGGTCATTTTCCCCCCCAAAAAAAATAAACAGTATGGATTGAAATGAGGGAAGACAATCCTACCATTTGGTTCACATTTGTATCAAATGTCCTTTTGAAAGCACATGATTTTGTGAAGACAACTAACGTGACCCTAAAATCTCTAGTTACATAGAAAACCAATTTACTGTCTAAATGTCTCAGAGTAAATAACCATATAATGTCATTATAGCTATGAAGTCTTTAGTATTATTGTGATTCACAATCAATGAAGATCTTAGAGATAATAAACATGAAGCACGCTTTATATTTCTTTCCTATTCCAAAGCCTTGTTTTTTTGTTAGATTTGTGTGGTATGTATTGAGAATTTAATTTTTAATATATCTATCTCTGTAGAAAGCGCACTAGAATCAGGATGAACAGAAGTGCCCAGGCTTCCCCTGTGCGTGGCCCGTGTGGCTTAATTGCTCCAAAGCAAGCTATCAAATCTTTGGCAATCCATTCAGCCAACAAACATATCCTCTCTTTAAAATATTTTTAGGAAAGGGGTCTTGCTCCAGCCTATGCATATCTATGGCACAAGTCTGTCTTATCAAAGTTCAGTGGGAGTGCCCTTACATTAAACAAAACAAAACCTGAGTCAAGGTCCAACTCTTCATTATTATTTGACAATCTCTTGCTATGTATGTCAAAATGCAGCTTCTCCTGGGGCATTCTGCAACATGACTAAGTCAAATGTGAGAAGACAAACATTTCATCCGGTTTAATGTATGGATGCCAATAAATATCCACAGAGCTAGGCTTGAGGGTAAAGTTTACAGGTAAGCACCTGGCCAAGCCACAAACATAACCAAGCTTTGCTTAGCCTGCAGTGATAGTGTAGAGACCCTGTGGACTCACCATCTGCAGGTGTAGAGTGGTTGCCAGCTATTGTGCTATACAGGAATTGGCCAAATAGAAGGACCACCTACAAACTACATAGCTCTTGTGTGTGATAGATATCTACACACACACACACACACACACACATATATATATACATATATATATTTATTTATTATTACACACACAAACTATTCCAACATCCTATAACTATTGACTATCCAATAATTTGAGGATAGTGGATATAAAAATATGTAATATTAGCATTCACGGAAGTACTTAGACCTTTTTTTGGTTATACTTCTCTTTTGGGTCAGGGGAGTAGATTTATCATGCTATAGTTGAAAAGGATCCTGACAATATTGTTGGGATTCACCATGGCTGCCCAATTGACAGTTGGCTCTGCATGTGGCCGAGAGCCAAAACCAGAGCAAGCTGTGCCCACCCTCTTCTCTGCATCGCTTAGCCAGTGCTAGAGCAACAGAGATTGGGGCAGTGACTTATGGTGGCTGCTCTTCACTGGGAGCAGAGACTGAGGGCTGACTGATCAGCAGTCACGTGATCGGTAATCGCTAAGCTGTCTTCGAGCAGCTTAGACAGCTGCAGTGTCCCACACCAGCTTTATGTACTGGGGAAAACACATTAAATTCTCCCCATACTTCAACAAGCTGTAATAAGTCAGTAAAATTTATTCAGTGTCTCTTGTTAATCAGTACTGCCAGATCAGTCTATCAGCAGGTGTGTGCGATACAAAATCGGCAAGGCATGCAAATCTATACTACAAATATTACACAATGTATGGACATCTCAAAAGGACCTCACAATTTCTCCATGCAAAAGCCAGGAGGTTGTCTATGGAGTGTAAACCTAAGGCATATTTTTTGTGGATTAACTCCCCGAGTCGGGAGTTTACCCCCAGCGGTAGACTGATGAGCTCATCTGTCACCCTGCTCTCTCCTGCCGTTAGCATGTTTCTTATTAGCACACAAGCACTGTAGCACAACTAACTAGCTCCTAGCACTACTACTCCCTCTCACAGACAGGGTTCTGTTGTACATATATTTTAAAAAAATAGGTTGCATGATGCACAAATTAATGAAAACTTCTATTCAATAGCACAGCTCAGCTTTAATCCCATGAACAGAATCTACCAAACTCTCAGCTTGTTGCCTCCTTTCACATCACTGGCATCTAGCAGCTACCCAAAAAAGCCATATACCTACTAAATCATAATTTAAGCATGTGTATGGGCATTGCTATAAAAATCTTTCAAATAATGCAGATACTAGCATTTTGTAGGGTGTATTGTGGTCTTCAAAAGGGGTTAAAATTAATAAAAAATAAATCACAGAGGATGCAGACTTATAATCAAGAGACTCACTGCAATCAGTCTGAACACTTTCAATCACATTACTGCGTATACTGTTTTACAATAGGAGGCTTAGTGGAGCCACATGGAATTTTGCTTCGTGTTTTAAAAGCAGTCACTGTAGTAGCTGTCAGTATCCCCTCGAGCAGCAGTGCAGCCAACAGAATAGGTGAATTATTTCTGATTAGCCTAATTGAGGTTAGTCTTTTATGTACGTCAGAGGTTAACTCCTGTGTAATTAGTCTCCTGATGAGCTTCACCCACCATCTGAACGTGGGCACTCTGCATGGTAACCAAGCAGAAAAGAATGATTAAGCCGACAATGGCACCAAAGGCTGTTTGACCTCTTATTTCCATTATCACATTTCCCGCACAAGCAGTGGACACAAGCACTACTATTGATTGTAAAGATACAGAACTGTAGAGGTACCTTCAGCTGATCAGACAGCAGACATGTTAAAGGGAAAGTAGAGTGTATTTTCAGTTATGGTATTGTTTAGAGTAAATTGATTTTTTTTAATGTTACAATAATTCTGGAAGAGCAAACATATAAAAGTATTAAAACAGAGATTTGTAGATTAGCCAACAGATGAAGCTCTATATTCCATGGTAAGCTATTCAGCTTTAAAGCTGAGCAATGGGAACAAAAATCTTCATCTAAATGTTTTTTTCAAAAGCCACACAGGATATAAATCCATTTTGTGAGCACCAAATGCCTTTACACGCTCTGTTATTACCTTGTAAAGTGTAGCAGGATCATCATCACTGTGCTGTACATAGCCTGTGCAGAAAGCAGATGTGTTGGAGGGACATAGAAGGTTCCAAACACTACAGGCTGCCTGTAGAAAACTGCAGGAGGGGGCGGACAAACGACCAGTCACCCTGCACAAGGAGAACGCAGCAGTGGACTGGTCTTTTCAGGGAAATTCCTGCACAGAGGCAAAGTTTTGCACCCATTACAGTAAAGATCTGGAAGAAATGCACAATTACGCCAAGATTCAAGTAAGAATACACATGAGCCCTGTATTTAGACAATATTTAAAGTGGAACTCTAGGAACTTATTGGGTATGCTAAATATACTTAACTCAGTGCTGCGCTATCTGTCATATACTGCCTGAGTGCAGGAGTATCACACTGAACCCAGTCCCCATGTATTATTTTGAATTACAGGCCTCGATTCATAATACCATAGATACAGTTAAGTGAGAATGGTCACCCTAGGGTAGTATTTCTCAGTCATGGCACAGTTTAAAAGTATGCAAAATCTCAAAGCAGTCTAAAATGTAAAAAACCTTAATGTCAAAAATTATGTTGACCCAAATACATACCAGACCCTTATCCTAGCTAGGGGTCTGTAAGGGATTCCAAGGGCAACCTCCATGCAAAATAAAACAAAATGTGGGTTTCCCTCCTTCACATCAGGAGCCCCCCCTCACAGCAGAATCCCCGTTAGTGCCCTCTTCACAACAGTGTGGGAGGCAGAACAAGTCTGGATGGAGGCAGACTTCCATCCTCTTCTGTATGGATCCCGACCACTCATCCTGTACTACAGTTATCGTTTCCCGTCTGCACCATGGAAACACATTATGCTGTGTCATGGCACCCCTGAGGAAGACAGACGGCACCCCAGTTAATAAAGACTGCCCTAGGATAGAAGTTATGCAAAGGATTACCAGGTATAAAAGGAAAAAAGCCTGAAAAAACCCACAAAAAAACTAATATAGCCAACACTTTTCAGTACTGGTGGGCTCAATAAGTAATAAATATATAAAATATATATATATATATATATATATCTATATATATATATATAGATATATATATATATGTATAT